GGATTTTTTCCCATAAAAGACCTGCCATTCACTCTTCCCTTAGTAACACTGTAAACACTCAATAGTTTACTCTAGTGAGTAAATTGAGATTTCAGGCAGAAAGTAGTCAAAGTGTTCCTGCTAGGTTGGATCAGCATTGATTGATGTCAAGGAACAGCTACCCCTTACACATTACACATAGTGATTTGACCCTTTGTTGATAAAATAAAAACACTGATTAGTGCAGCTGTAAGTACTGGTGTCCGGAGGTGTAAAGCTTAGCTTAACATAATAACTATGAGTCATTTTCCAGCAGCTAGCTTGGCTCTCTCCAAATGCGTCACTCAGAAAGCAAATAAGCATATATCCCCAAATGTTTAACTATTCCTTAACTCGAATGCCTGGATGTTTTCTTGCATGTGTCTTGTTCTGCTCTGCTCTCTTGCAGTTTTTTCTTAACTAAATCCCCACATTGCTTTTTATCCTCTCTCTGTCACATTCTCTCTCTCTTTTCTCTATCTTTCTCTCTCTTCTCCTTCGTCTTCTTCTTCTTCTTCTTTCCCTGCTGGTGATGGGAGGCTTCCTGATTAGAACACACACTGCCAAGTCCCCCCACATCGCATCATTGCATTTGATTAGCTCCAACCCCCTGCTCCCTCCCTTATCACTACCAGCACAACAGGAAGCACCACACACACACACACACACACACACACACACACACACACACACACACACACACACACACACACACACACACACACACACACACGCATGCATGCACAGATACACATGCATACATATCACAAACTCACTTTCAGACTTATCTGAACTCCATGACTGCCTGTAAACGTGCACTGGCATATATGAACACACACAATCTTCAACTACACACACATCTGGGCTGCTGCTGGTGCCGTGGCGGCAGGGCATCGGGTAAAGCCAGCATGGCGCTGACAGCTCCCTGTCCCTAATGAAGCATTAATAAACTACAGCACAAAACAGTGGATCAGAGAGCAGCAGAGCTCCCCACCTGCCTGGCTGTCTGCTGGCTGCCAGGGGGAGAGATGAGAGGGGGAGAGGATCACTGTAATCCCCCATCCTCCAAAACCCCTCTGCCCCACTTTTCAGGGAGACATCACCCCTCATCACCTGCTCTTCAGTGTCACGCTGAAGGTTCTGTGCTTTTCATGAGTCTGATGTCAATACTCAATAAAAGAGACCTTGCATAATTAAACTACCGTACATTTCCTCCATTGTAATTTCTATTGAAAATATATGCATTAAAAACACTCAGAGATAAATATGGCAGAGTTGTTGACACAAAAGATTCACCACAACTTTGAATTAAAATGTTCTTCAAAAGTTCTTTACATTGGCAGCTCAAACAGAGTTGAGAAAGTCACTTAAAGGTTGGATGGCAGTGTGTAACATTTCTGAGGATCTATGGGCAGAGATGGAATATAATATTTATAGGTATGTTTTCATTAGTGTATTATCACCTGAAAATAAGAAAAGCTGTGTTTTGGTACCTTAGAGTGAGATGTTTTTATCTACAAAAGGTACGGGTCCTCTTTCACAGAGTCTTTGCACCCCCCTTTTTCTCCAATACCCAAAAAAAAAAAAACAAAAAAAAAAAAAATTAAGCACCCTAAATTTTTCTTTTTTTTTTTAAAAAGACTTGAGGGGTATTCAGTTGGTTGCTATCTCCATCTCACTGCTAGCTGCCTGCACAGTGGTCCTTTAATTTTGAATCTTGCAATCTATGTCCACTTGTTTGTGAATGTGGAAGATTGACGGTGTTCAAAATTAAGTGTTTTTGCAAGTTTATTTTCCCAAAAGCTCTTAACTGTAAAGACATTAGGCTGTAGCTAGCTAGTGTGTGTGTGTGGAGCGTACAAGTCCTGACTTTGTTACACAGCTCAGCCTGATCTACAAAATCACCAGGCACTCCAATTCTTTTCATAATTTTCCCTCTGCTTTTCTTTGAGTCTCTTCTTCCTCTTTGTACATTCATGAACTGTAGTCATAAATCTTCCAAATAGGCACAGACTCTTCGTGAATTTGTGTCTCTTCTTGTCCACTTCGCATGGACTCTATATGCAGTCACGCTACCTTCAGTCTGAATACACCATAAAGATGATGTTCATGCGTTGCTCTTGATGTGTGAAGGTGTTTCCAGCACATGAATTCACAATTAGGCCCGCAGGTAGTCCAGTCACAATGCCCCGACTGGCAGACAATGCCGGCCCTCTGATTCAAATGAAGTGAACCTGCTGAGTGTAGATATTCCAGGAGGTGTGTCTATTCAAATGCTGCATGCCTGCGATTAGTAGAATGGGAGCGATTGTTCAGTCAAATCCAGGTCCAACTGTGATGGACTGACAGGAATGAGTCCAAAGTGCTTTTTTCCCCGCAGTAGTAACTGGATTTTAGAAAATGCAATCTTAATAAACATGTAAATAAACATTTTAAACATAATGGATTCTTGTAATTGGGCCCCAGAATGCCTGCTGGTCTTTAGAGTGTCCTCTCCCTCCCTCACCATAAGCCGGAGATGTCATCTCTCTCTCTGTTTGTGCTGATATGCCGTTGCTTCGGTGTCACTTTGTGTCTTTATCTGTCAGTCTATCTGTATCCTTATCTGCCTTTTTTTCTCATTATCCTTGCAGTCTAAACCTCAGTGAGCTTCACTCCAGCGAGAGAGACTGATCTAATTGGTAGCGAGGATCATTGTAATTTAGCGAAGCCAGCTCTGCTGACTTTTTCAGCTCCTCTCTTTCTCCTCCTTTTTTTGGCACCTTTCTCATGATAATAATGAGAAAATATAAGCGAGAACTCCCTGAAGTTTGCTGTGGTGAGCGTGTTTTTTCTTCCTTTTTTTTTTTTTATGTGGGCTTGTTACACCGATCACATTCGCCCAGGCAATTTGCCTGCTTGTCTGAGTCTGAGAAGGGAGGCTTATCTGCACTAACGCCCCATCCAGGCTGCGCTTCGTATCCAAATCGGCCCCTGTTAGCATTCAAATGAAGAGGCCCCACCTCCCCTTCCTATTCTACCTAGCTCTCGTGCCCCTTACAATCGCCCGCACCCCTCTTTGCCTGTCAACACGCCAGCTTCGCTCGGAGGAAAAGAGTGTTGGGGTAGAGAGAGAGAGAAAGCCCTGGCTGTTATTTAATGAGATCAAGAAGCGCAGGGGTGCTGTTTGCTGTCACAAAGCAAACAGGGGTCCTCTCTGCAGGTGAGGAGAATCACTGGGCTTCTCCCTCATCTTCCTTTTCTTCCTCGGTAGCTGTGACTGCCGCCTCCACCTTAACAACCACCATTTTAAGGAAACCATAAAGCGCTCTGACAAGGTGCTTCTTCTTGTCAAGACACATACCTCCTCCTCCTCCCAACGGCAGGTGCATCAAAACAGTATGGCTGTGAAGGTTATTTCTACCAGTACGGCATGCTTCATAACAAGAGCCCAAACTAAAAGTGCAAATTGTGTATTGGGTGTGTAATTGCGGCTGCTGTGATTTAACATGACCTTTTACCTGGTCTGGCAGATACAACAAGCACATTACCTCGGTGCTGTTTCCCACAGGTCATCAGTGTCTCATTGTTCAAATGATTAGACTGAAATTAGAGGCCAAGTGTCACAATCGCTATCTTGTCCGCATTGGTTGCCATTAAGCCACCATCGATGGCTCACAATGACTTATGATTTCAGTGACACATTTTCCATCTGTCACCCTGAGTTAGAGATTTAATTTAGTATTTTATTTTGAAGTTACTTTTGAGGTGTCTCTGCCACAAATTAGGTCTAGAGTCAGTTTCAAAGTTGCTGCTGTAAGACAGAACAAATATAAAATGTGTTGGGGGGAGGGGAGCGTTCGTTAACGAGTCTCGCGCACCAAACCTCAAAAGGACTTGACAGAAGAGAGCGGGAAAAAAACAGAGGGGGGGGATGTGTCATGAAAATGAGGAAAGCAAGGTGGGGGATATCCTTTGATCAAGAACACTCCTCGTAGCACTCTTGTCTCCTTACACATCCATAATATATCTCTGCACACATTGCAGTCTCTCTTAACAAGGCAGTGCCATTCCGTCCTGAAGGAAGGGATTGAATTTTGAAAAAAGCCAAGCCTGGAACAGACTCCTTTATTGTCTTTTCTTCAATAGAATGATAAGAGGTGAAATAAAACACTAAACAAAATGCACAGCAAAGAATTTTGCCCCCCCCGCCTTCAAATCAAATGCATTCATGTTGGTTGTAACAAAAGAGGGGATAATATCAGACATGGGTAAATATTTATTCTAAAAGTGGCAGGCTTAGGAAATGAGAGGGCTGCAGACGCTCTGCTTCTCTCGAGGGAGAGCATGTTTGTCCATGACAGTCATAAATATGTATCATGCAGTGAGATGACAGCGATTGTAATCTGATGGCCGCCTTTTGTCGAGCATATGAAACCCCAAGAAAAGCCCCAACTGTGGCAAACAGGCGAAATTAAAAGTTCTCCTATCATTGGAATGAGTCACTCAGCGACAAGTGGCATGCTGTTTAATTAGGGTGGGAACAAAGTCCTCGGGGCGGGGAGGGGGGACTACCTTTTTCCCTCCTTCCTCTCAGTCTCATTTGCAGAAAGGTAAATATTCAGAGGGTCGCTTTTCAGCCGCGGCGATTAAAGCATGCTCAAGCATAGCAATAGAGAATGTGTTTTGAATGCAAAGCCTCCGAATCAATTCATGCTGCGCTGCGAAATGAATCGCAACTTGTTTGTACGAGTAGACAGCTATGGCAGTGCGTCCTCACCCAGGGGTGTCAAGTAGTTCTTCAGACCCAGAATAACTGCGCTCAGCTTCCAAAAGTGCACCAGCAGGCACTTAAATGAGGTGGCCTGTCATCCATGATGCTCTCCAGTGTACAGTAGCAGTGAGTGTCCTGGAGAACAGCTGGTTGACAGGTGTATTCTTCAATGTAAGAACCCCTCTGCTTTTGACTAAACCTTGTTTTCATGTCTGTCCCTTGCCTGCAGCTCTGAAGGACCCCTGCACTGAGGTGACCTGCAGCTACGGCAGCACCTGTGTCCAGTCGTCAGATGGCTTGTCAGCTAAATGCATGTGCCCCCTGGGCTGCGAGGGCAAGCCCGAGCAGACAGTGTGCGGCAGTGATGGAAAGGACTACCGCAACGAGTGTGAGCTCCATCAGCACGCCTGCAAGAACCAGAAGAACATACGAGTGCAATACCAAGGGCACTGCGGTGAGCTCTCGCCTCATGCTTTCTTTGGGATTATTTCTTTTCATTGATCAGTTAATTTATTCTATTGATGTATGGATTTAGTCTCGTAAGAAATTACCTTCTTTTAATTTGTTTGTATGAGATGTTAAATTTACAATCACATAAGGGGGAAAGTAGAAAACCCTCACATTTGAACTTTGGAACCAACACATAGGCATTAGGCATTTCGGCTTAAATGTAAGCGCTCTACTTTTCTTTCTCTATGTTCTATACTCATATCCTTTCCTCTCTTTTCTTCACTTCACTCTGTTTACTACCTCTGGCTTTTGTTGTTTCTACTTCACAAACCCCACTTACTTACGGCACGCCTCTGCTAATTCTCATTTTTCATTCAGCTTGCTTTGCTTCACACAGGTACTCCTGCGGTGTGAATTGTTGTTTTCTCTAAGTAGGTCTTCAGCGTTGTCTTTTTCGACGGGCCCAGCTTTTTTCACTCATCCTTGTTATCATCAGGCGATGGTTGTTTACTCCCAAGGCACTCAACTTTGAGTGTTTTTTTCTTTTTTTTTGGTGGCGAGCCAGATGGAGGGGAAGAAACAGCAGACACAAACTCTGTCTCTTAGCAGCCGAAGCCTCCAGGAGACAGAGCGGGGTGGTGGGCAACGAGAGATGGATGTGCAGGTCCGCTGGCGGAAGGCTGGTCGTATAAATCCAGCCTGAGCTGGCCAAAGTGACCTCAGTTGGCCCGTCCTCCCCGGGGAGGGCCGATGCTCAGGGAACCAGTCTCCCCTGATGGTCCTCTAAATCTTCCGACAGCCATTCATATAAAGCCTTGGCTATTTCAAGTTGCTAGCCATAGCCAGACAAATGCAGTTGATTTATCCGCAGTGCTAGTTTTTGCAGCAAACAGGCCATTCGTTTTGTAATTACCCTACTTGCTCAGCTAGAGGAAAGCATGGATCCTGGAAGCTGTTCTTCTCAGTTAATGGGAGGTAATGGTCTTTCTCTCAGATAATGGTCTGGCTGGCGGGTAAGCACTGCGTTATGCAGAGACACTGCGTGCATTACGATAAAACCCCTGTTTGCTTGGTCACTAGTCTCTGCAAGCCTTTGCATTGTGCTGATAGAAAACAATCTGAGGCCCAGCCAGAGCTGGCCGTGGTCACTCCGCCTCCCAGCCCTCCAAAGCGCTCTGTCCCTTTTTATGTCCCTGCATTGTCTCTCTTTGTATCCCTGCCAGAGGTCTTTGGAAACCATTTTCCCTTATTCTCTCTTTCTCATTCTCTTTCTCTTCCTCCCTACTCCTTTCCCGATGATAGGGTGTTTCATCCTTGGTGTGTTTTGAATGACTCACCGACCGTCAGCTTGGCAGTGATTTGATATGTCACGGTGCTACATAAATCCTTTGTCTTCCCACATGCTGAAAGCGTAGCGAGCAGGATAAAGCCCAGGCTCCTGTTTCAAGGAGTAACACCCCTGGTCCCACACATCCACAAACCAATTCCATTATGATCACGGACTGATACAGCCCAGCGTGCCAGACCGACGCTCCCCTGGAAGCAGGGAGGTGCCAGGGAGCAAATCAAACCGACGGTCTCTTCATCCATTTCCTTGTCTTCTCTTCACATCCAAGGTCCCACTCGGAGCTGCTCTCAGCTGCCGGGTCACTGATAATATCTGTGGAGCAGCAATGATGGAGGATCATGTCTCCTCTTCCCTTTCTTAGTTCCCTCCGTTCTCCTCCCTTCTCATCTCTTCTCGTCTCTTCTCGTCTCTTCTCGTCTCTCTGAATTTATTAGACAAATATTGTCAAACAAACAAAAGTTAATGCATTCAACCTAAACAGAGATTATTTAGCCTAAAACAATATCACAGGCATATTGTTGTTTACTGCAGTTTAATTTAAAAACAGCCTAACCAAAGCTCTAACAGGAACTTTACTGGAGTGCCAGTTCCCGAGGAAATGAAGCCAGCACACATAGTATCGCAGTAGTTATGTTTTTGATGTGTTTTTTCTTGTGCCAAGGTATAGCTGTTTGGCTTTCCACAGAGGTCCAAAAGATGCACAGAGATGGTTTTGATTAAAGCTTTTGTTCAATTCCCCAGGGTCTAATTAACATAAAACAGCCTTTTTTTATTATTTATTTTAGTTATTTAGTTATTTTACATACAAATTGTACTACATACTGCTCTGTACTGCACTACATATTTCTGAATGTCTCCACAGACCCGTGTAAAGACAGTGAGAACAGCCTGAACATGTTGTGCCAGGTTACGGCTCTCTCCCGCGAGCCCCTCCTCTATAACCGGCCGGATTCGTGCCCCCAGGATAATGAGCCTCTGTGTGCCAGTGACGGCCAATCCTACTCCAACGAGTGTGTCATGATGTCAACGGGCAGGCAGAAAGGCATCAAGCTAAGGAAGATCCACGCAGGGCGTTGCAGAAGGCTGGGTAAGGGCAGTTATGCCGTGCTTTGTGCACAATATGTAAGACAAGTAGCTTTTTTTGTCATTTGACCCCCCTGCTCTACTGTTAATCAATTTTAGTTTTTCCTGACTTACCTGTGTTGTTGTAGCTGTGTGTTTTCTGTGCCGTGGCCAGCTTAGTTACCCCAAGAACTGCCCTAGATGTAATCTTTTTCCACCTGCCATTTCACGTGCAGGACACTAGCACTAGCACTGTTCATGGGGTGCTAGTACTATGAAAATGACATTAATATATGAACATATTATGTACATATGATGACAGATGAAACTCACTGTGGTCATTTTCAAACAGATTGCCCTGTTGTAAAAATAATCCAGATACAATGCTCTCGGGAGTACACAACTGAAACCTTCTAAGTATAGTGTCCTGCTTCTTTCAAAGCAGTTAGGCTCTGCAACAGTGCAATGCATTTTTCAAAACGTTGTGTCCAAATTAATCACAAGGGCCTACTTAACAAAAATAGTCCAATGATTTAATTATGGCAAACCACCCCCAAAGGTTGGTATGGGTTTTAAAGAGAGTCAGCCAAACACAGTCACAAAATGTCTGCATCACATTGTCATATATGCACACATTCACATATTTTACCCAATTTCTTCCTCAAATTTGAACATGTGTAGGTGAACTAGCATTAGAACTCAACTGAACTGTCCACTTTATGGCACAGAGATAAATGACTCTGAGGTCTCGGGGTCTGTACTGTATCCATGCCAGCAGTAGCCTCCTCCAGCCTGATAAGAGCCTCCAGGGCTGTTATCTGTGCTATTAGAACAGAGGGTTTAAGCCTTAGTCAACAAAGAGCTGTCAGCTTTTACTGTATGTCTGATAGCCATCGGAGGAAATCCAATTTTCCCGCTGTGTTGTCAGCAGGGGCTTCGCAAAACCACAACTGTGTCGGTTTACGGCAGTGATGTGCGGAGACCCCTACCCATTTACTGAGACCCCTGACAAGACCAAAGACAAGAATAGATCACCGTAGGACTCCCTTTGGTATACTCAACAATGAAGGCTGATACACACTTCTCTGACACACCCTGGTTCTCCCATTTGCTCTGCTTGACAGGCTGATGGAGGAGTGTGAGGGCTTAAAATTGCGCAAGTCCCAGCCTAAGTAGCGTTGTGTGTTTGTGTTTGTGTGTGAGTATGTGTGGGCCATCGTGTGCAAGTGGATGAACTATTTTTTTCTCTTTTTTACCCCTTTTCTGCTCTGCCTTTTTCAATTGAAAGAATAATTCAATTTGAAACAGAGATCCATGAAATCATATCCCTAAGCAAATTACAAATTGGTATCTAATGAAAATGGCCATTTCAACTTGTAACCATGACATTGCACATCCTTGTAGCCCTCTCACTCAGATACAGCGGCGATGTAATTAAGTGTGGCATGACAGGCTTTTAAAGAAAAGAGAAGAAGCAATTGAATTGCTGTACAAATTTGATCCACTGATCAGGAATGAAGTAAATTCGAAGCCTAGTGAGCGCCTCCAGAACAGAGGTCTGCTTCAAATTGGATTTTCTCACTTCAATGGCAAATTTGCCATTTCACATTACCAGTATTTCTTTCTTTTTTCTTAATTTCCGCAGTAGATTTCTGCTTAGCGAGTCAAAATGTAATGAATATAATAGTTTAGACTTTAACTTGACCCCAATATTAAATTCTTGAGTTTGAGTTCCCCAATTTTATTAAAGTTATTGGGGAACTTTATTATTAAAGTTAGATGGTAGTATGGCAAACCTGATCTCCAGTCAGTTGTCATGGGTTACATCAGCAAAGAGCTTGTATTAACAGTCAGTCACAATATTATTAAGTGTCACTTCGTAGAGTGTGTTACCATGGATATGATTGTAATAAGATTAGTAAGTTAGGGGGAATGTAAGAAAAACAATTTTGAACTAAAGTAGAAATAATGGTATACTTAAGCTGCTACATTTCAATAAATTCTAATATTTCCATCATCCAGTCGCCTGTGTGGTGACAGCAGCAATTTCTGTCACAATAGTAAATTACTCTCAGAGAATTCACCTGTTTCAGGTTCAGAAAAAAATAAGAATCTTAAAAACAAACAAATTAATATTTTTTTCGACAGAAGTGCTTTAAAGGCAAGAAATAAAATAATGAACACTCAAAATAAACAGAAACTAATAAACACTCTTAAATGTTACTCATACTGTCTTGTATGACCAGTTTTGTATCCGTCCACCTGCAAACTGTTATTTCTAGGCTTGAATTGGCTTTAAATTGCATTTATCTAATCTTACATTCACTTACTTTTACTGTATTTGTCATTTTATTTTGTATTGTTGTAAACATGCCCTCAGATTCTTTACAGAATGACGACTGACTGTTTTAATACTCAATTAACGAAGGTGTTTTCATTTGTGATGTGTTGTTATAGCAATTTCATGTATTTCTGGAAATGGCTTAACCTCTGCTGCTGAAAGAAAAGCTTTTACACGCACTACCAGTGACATCAGTCCACCCTAACAAGTAATTACTGTTTGGATGAAAACTGATTTATTTCCTCATGGCTGGACCAGCAGTGTCACACAGCAGGAAGAACAATCAGTTCAACACTTTGCTAGCTTGAAATGTTGTTTTTTACGCCTTCTGGGTACTTCTGTTGTCCTTTCCTCTATGGTGATCAGTCTGCCACACTGTTATAAAATTGGCAGCTGGAAACTGCTCTAAAAAAGCCTTATCAGTGTCTATACAGATGGGTGACAAATTAAAGCAAAATCCTGAAGAATTGAGTGGAGAAATAGAACGAATGCATGGGCCACTGGGTACAGGAGGTTACTGGGTTAGGGGTAGGATAACTCCGAATAGTACTAGGCAGGAATTCATAGATCCTAAATTAATTTCGTTTCTGCCCACCTCCCTCTCTTCCAGAGGACTGTAAGGAGGACTGTCTCTTCAACGCTGTGTGTCTAGTGGAACAGCTGAGCGCCCGCTGCTCCTGCGATCCCATCGAGTGCGACGGCACCTACAAGCCCTTGTGCGGCAAAGACGGCCACACCTACCCCAACGACTGTGTTCGACGCAAGACCGAGTGCCTGAGCAGGACCTTCATTCTCATCAAGCACCCAGGGCCCTGTGGTAAGTGGAGCTGAAGGATGGGAAACTGGGGTAACAGCTCCTTTGGGGTTTTTACAGGGACTAATGCTATTTCTTATCAATCCCTCTCTTCTTCTGTGTCTTTCTTTGCTTATTTAATGATGCCCATGCAGTGTGTTTTTTCTTCTGTGTGTATGTCTGCAGTTGAAACCCTACTGAAAAGTGTCTGTAATGGTTTGGTGATGCTCTCCGAAGGGGGGTGGGGGGTTGGGGTTTCAAACCAACAGGACGTGTGTCCCTTCCTTATAAAAACCGTGCCGTCACTCCTCCTTGTTCACATCCATCTCCTCATCCCTGTCACGCTTCATCCCTCCATCTCAAACACACTCCCAAAACCAAAACGCCACCTTCATGTTTCATTCATCCGCTCTCTGTCTTCTTCTCCTTCACTAGTGCCAGTCTTCCACTTCGGTGACTTTTTGTCGTTTTCTCCTCCTCTGTCTTTGTCTGTTTGTCTTGTGTCCTGCTTTTTTCTTGTATAAAAAAAAGCTATTCTTTCTTGTTTCAGTGCGTCAGTCAGTCTGTCTGTCTGTCTTTGTCCAATGTGGCCGTCCTCCTGGCTGTCTGGCTGCAGGTGGAAAAGTGGGGTCACCCAGTGGGCGACCTCATCAGGCGGATTCTGAGGGGTGAAGCCCTTCCCCTCGCTCCGAAAGGACCTAACAGGAGGGGGTCTTGTACTGCTGTCTTTTTCCTCTCGCTCCTACTGTCTCTGTGTGTCTCCTTATGTCATTAATGTCCTTTCCTTCTGTTTATCCTGCAAAGATGTGATCCATGAGGTTGGAGAAGTCTTCCTCTAACCCCTGCTCCCTATTTTTCATTTCCTGTCTAACTAAAAGAAAAGCTTCTCCTCTACCTACCTACCCAACCGCTGCTCACCTTTGACTCCTTTCGCTCTGCATGCAATAGTGCATGCCAGCTCCTAACCTCACTGCTTCCCAAACAATCCCTCTCTCCATCATCAGGACTATCTCATAAAAGCTGCCCGACGAATGCACAAAGCTCGGTGAGCATAAAAGCTGAGGCGGAGTGCGTCTGCATTTTGTTGAATCCTTTTGAATGCTTTATACTCGATCCTTTTAGGTTTACCCTTGAAAGTACCCCCTGAAAGTAACTAAAGTTGAGAATAAGTTAAAAATGAGGTAAGATCTTGAACCACCTTTGTTAGCTGAGATGGTAGGTAGTCAAGTAGTGCTCACTACATGAAACTATAATCTGATAAGGAAATGAGTACATATGAAAGGTTTTGCATACATTTTTCACCAGCTTTGTTCTCGAGATATTGCAGATCCCGATATAGAAACAATAAGGTGATAAGCTCAAATCACTGGTATGAAATGTGTTATAGCCAAGCTGGAGGGTCTCAACCCCAAAAATTGACATAACCCTATCAGCAAGTTCATTTCATCACTACCGTGACTACAATATTCCCCTAAATATCACATAGTTGCCATGCGCAGATGATAAAAAAAAAAAAATGATTTGAACATTATGAAAGATTATCACTGAAGGTAATCTGGGGTTTTGCAGAATGGTTCAGTATCTACGTTCTGTTTGGTGAAACTAAGAAGCCTGCCACCTGAAAGCATTGCAGATTGCTCTTTGCTAATAAAATGAGGAGAGACATAAGATTCATTAAGAGATGTGTCAGTCTTTGAGTTTAGCTAATCTGGCCATTTTATACAATTTAAACCAAACTGGAAGCGACTATTGGTACGTATCCAACCATGAGCAGCTTGGACAGCTGTATTGATTTGACAGAAATAATAAAACATGAAGAGCAGTGTGTCTGCTTTGCCCTTGACCCTCAGATTTAAACAAATCATATTTTCCAACACAAACGCATTGAACTCCAATTTATTTGCAAAAGTAAAATTTTAATGGATTCCCCTTTAAACTCGTCATCCACTAGTATCCTAACAATCAATTTTTGTCTCTGAACTAGTCCAAGTGCCTCTCTAGCAATTTTTAAAGATGATTTAAACATCCCATCTTCAGTAAATGAATGAATTAGAAGCATTTTATCTGTTTCAAAACTCGATAACCCAGCATGCACTGTAAAGCCAGAGTAAACTGCTCATGCTGCTTGGTGTTGCACTCCCTCAGACAACGAATCCTCACAGCCGACATGTTGTGTCATTTTGTCCAGAGTTGCATTGTCATTGTTGCTGTGACAGAGGCCGATAAAACGAGAGAGAGATCTGTCCATCCTCCAGGCGTTGGGGTGGAGCTGAATACCAAAGTTATCTCCAGTTGTCAGCATCAGGGGGCACCAGCCCTCATTAGCATTATTGGGCCGTCTGAGCCGTGCATAAATTAAACAGTGGAAATGGCGAGCTCTTATGTGTTTTGCTCCGTTATTATTTCTGGCAAATGGTGTTTCAATCCCCCCCCCTCATTTGTTTAGTTATTTTACTTTCTTTCTCTCTCTTCATCCTTCCTCCCTTCCCCTGCGCATCGCAGCCGTCAGCGACTGGTAGTATGTTTCTTTAATGCATTTTTATTGACATTTGCATATTTTTCCAAACAGAACGCTATGAAGGCCCCCCCCACCACCACCACCTCCCCTCCCCCGATTCGGTTTTAATTAAACATCAAAAGAGGCAAGCGTAGGTGCCCACAGAGACTGTTGGTTTAGTCAGACATATGATATGCATGCAAGGAGTGTGTCTTTGTGTGTGTGCATGTTAGAACTTTCTTTCTTTCTTTCTTTCTTTCTTTCTTTCTTTCTTTCTTTCTTTCTTTTTCTTCCTCTGTCCCTCATGTCCTTGTTTTTTACTGCCAGTGTGTTAGTAGGACTGAGTCCAGATTAGCTAGAGATTCCTCTCTGTAATAGCACTGCCCAAAAGACTTAGAATATTCACAACCCTGACAGATGCCCAAGGGATGCATGGAGTGTGTGAGTGTGTGTGTGTGTGTGTGTGTGTGTGTGTGTGCTGTGTGTGTGTGTGTGTGCGCGTGTGTGCATGTGTGCATGTGTGTGTGTCTTTTCGCAAAGACTTACTTGTCTGAGATCGATCAATAGCCCACACTGATCACGCGGCAGGAACACACACTGTATACAGTGCGAGACACACACTTCTTTTGTGCTCTATTGTGCCGCTGCTCTGACAGTGACTGGCAGTGTCAAAAGACGACTGCACAATGACCGCTGTGTCATTGTGGTACACACCACACACACACACACACACACACACACACAAACACATACACACAGAGACTCAAGGCTTCAGACAGAGTTTCAAACAGCTGAAAAGGAAGAGTTTGATATATTAAATTATCATTATTTGATAAATAATGATCTCTTTCCTCGTTTCATTGGTTGAGTGGTGCGCGGGGCGGGGTGATCGATCGCACTGCCAGCTGTCAAACGGATGAAATTCTTCAGCTCTGACACCGTCGTAAATCTCTTTCTCATGTGGGTGACAGCGCCTAATGTCACCCGTCCCCTGTCGGCTCTCGCCTCCACAAAGAATGGTCATGCAAAGAACCCACATGTCTATAATGTCCCGACTGCTATCCTCCCCAGAAAAGTGTTTGATTGATATCTGAAGCTCTTCAATTTAGAGATTGCAGGCACCACGTGGCGTTTAGCTGATTAACTCACGTCCAGGCGCTGTCACAAATCTTTAAAATGTCCGAGAAAACACGTGAGCCTGTGAAGGATTTGCTGGAAGTGAATCAGAGCAGGATGCTGGGAAAGAGGGTGAATATGTCTGCAGCCTTGGATCCTGAGATAGAATATAAAAGCCCTGTGACACTGGAGGAAGAAAAGATGTTTGTCATCACCAGATAAGCAGATGAGAGGACACAGCGGCTGACTTCACTGCTCACTGTTAAAAATATTGACAGGTTTTTTGTTTTTTACTCCAGGCTTCGTTTTCATTATGTTTGCCACCATAATGATTCTGTCGGAGTTCTAATCACCTACTTCACTATAGAGCTTTTACCATGTCGCAGTTCTTTCAACCTCACGCTGAATAAGAACATCCAGAGTCTGATTAAAAGGCAAGAAAACTCCACTGGGGTCAATTTATAATTGATTGTCGATCCATACAGACAGTGTCAATTAAGCGTTTCACAGCGTGGAACATATAAAGAATATTTTTTGACTGAAGCAGTGAAGTCCTGTTTTTCCTCTCCTGACATCACAGCAGGGTACGAGCACAAACTAAACAAGGAAGTGTGCGTGCAGCCTGGGCAACTGTAGCAGAAATGTTGTTGTAATTGTTCAGCTATATTTAGAGGAGGAACAAGCCATCCAGGTGCATCACCACGCTAATGTTTTCAAAGGCTTTTATTCTTTCTTGCTTTTTCTGTTCTGACCCCTAAAAACTTTAGGATGAAGATGAGTTCATAGTTCACCACATACAAAAGCAAACACATGTGGCCTGTGTGAAGGCTCACTGACATTATAGCAGTACTTGAAACAGTTAAGCTGTGACATTCTGATGAATTTGGCAGCAAAGACACAGAAAGTGCTCCACATCTCTACAGTGCTTTCACCAATAATGATCAAAATTGCTTAGTGGGTCCTCAGCTCCTCATCGTACCTGTGTGTAACATACTCGACTTAATGTGCTTTTGCTCGGCCCTGAGATAAACTGCCTGCAGCTTTATGAAAAGATATTAGGATCTGCAGTTGTGCTGTGCTAAAAAGCCATGGTTCAATCACTGTTTAGAGTTTATGTGTGTGTGTATGTGTGTGTGTAATGGACAGCAGCATTCCCAGTAAAGTACAGAAAGATATAGAAAGCTCTGCAGTGCAGTAGGGGAGATAGTGAACAGATCTGATACGCTTAAAAGTGAAGTGTATTATAATAAAAATAGAATTAGTCTGAAGGCTTCACTTTGACTTCCACTAAGGAACAAAAACATTTTTCACAATAAACCTTTTTAAAAAATAAAATTTAAATTTAGTATCAGAGAGCCATACGGAGCCCCTAAAGGGACATGGGGGGAAAAAAACAAAAAGAAACGTTTCT